TCTAAATCAGTTTTAGATTCTAGGTCTCCTTTAAAACCATTGTTGGCTTTACTAGCTAAAGTCCCATTAGTCATCATACACTAGAGAAATTCATCTCGGGAACTATTTGGTGGTTTAACCCCCCCCCCCCCCCCCCCCCCCCCAATCCAACCCCTTTAAAGCTGAGTGTCAAGCAGGGAGGCGTTGGATCCCATTTTCAAAGTCTTTGATATGACCCGACCGGGTTTTGAACCCCAATCTCCCAGTCCCAGGGTGGACACTCTACCACTGAGAAGGTTAAAGAAAGCTGTTTGTTATTTGTTCAGCAATCTTGATTGTATCATTGAGTTTGTGCATTGTTATGTATTTTTCTTAAGTGGCGGAAGATTTTCTACTCTGCTCCAGAACCTCGGACCCGAAAATGCCGTCACCTTACTCGTGTTTGCTGTCACAGAACATAAGATCCTGGTCCACTCGTTACGTCCAGCGGTGCTGACCAGCGTTGCTGAGGCCTTGGTGTCGGTAAGTGTCCTTAATGACCTTCTTTTCTAACCTGGAGTGCGCTTCCTTTCCAGCATGTTGCTCTTTTAATTTGATTTTTTATAGCAGTTCTATTCTTTATGTATTGTAATATTGAAAGCAGAAGTCATTGAACTCTTGGACTGCTTCAGTACTTTTAAGGATTTAAGATATTTATAGTGAGAACATTGAATTTACTAAGCTTATTGAGGCACTGCTGAAACATTTATTCATGATATTGTAGAGTTTTTCTGTTACATGTAAAACTTTCAACTTGCTATTAATGTGTTGAAACTTAAAAAAATGTTTAGTGTTTATGACTCTCAAACTTCTCGTCTTGATTTCAGATGATCTTCCCATTCCACTGGCCATGTCCGTACATCCCTCTTTGCCCCCTGGCATTAGCTGATGTGCTGAGCGCTCCCTGTCCTTTTATTGTTGGCGTGGACTCGCGATACTTTGACCTTTATGACCCTCCACCGGATGTGAGCTGTGTAGATCTGGACACAAACTCCATCTTTCAGTAAGCACTGGCCAAAAAATATTCAGCTACTAAATTTATAAAATGCCAAGGCTCACACATAGTAAAAGTTCTACATAACTTTTTCTATTTGGTCTTTACTTTAGTTTACTTGGCTCACAAAACTCCCAGGTCATGGGTTCTACGTTTAGAGACTAGGCAATTTTCCAAGAAACTGGGTGGAAGTGGTTATTTTTTTAGCATTTTAAATCCTAGAGAATGCAATTTTCCAGTATGTCAGGTAAGATCAGTAATGGCTCACATAAATGTTGGCTTTCCTACTAGCCTGAGAGCATTAGGGTGGTCTAAACAGTGAGGCTCATGTTGATTTTGGCCACAGGCTTAGTGTATGCCTTTGCTTTTCCAGCAATGACGATAAGCGAGCTCTCACATGGAAGATCCTGCCAAAGAAAGCCTGTAAAAACCTGATGAATGTACTGAGTAATCTCCACCGGCAGCTGGTTGATGGTGAGTACTAACCTGATTCATGAACTGTTTCAACAAATGATTATTAAACTCTCAACTGAAAAAGTTTACTTTTAAGTACATTTTCAGTAAATGTTTTCTTCCTCAACTTATATGTTTTTTTGGTGAAAAGGTGGTTTGAGTGTAAAGCAGCAGAGATCTAACCCTTATCTATTGATCACAATTTTATTTCCAATTTTGCCTCAAAATAATCACAAAAACAATAAAAAAGACACAAAAAATTTATTAAAAAATTTTTTCAGGTTTCCTTTTGTCAGCATGTTCCTGATCTGTCACGGCGAACATTAAAACTCACGAGTCTTATGGTGTTTCGAAAGCCAGCACAAGTAACAATTGCAGAGCAAGCGCAAAACACAGTGCTAGTGTAGGTTGTGTCAAAAAGTGTGCAATGTGTGACAATGTTGAAAAGCAAACTGAGTAGAGTTGTGTTGCTTTTAGCCAATCTGGGGCAATATGTCCAAATATCAGAAAATACATTTCCCATCAATTCCTATTTAGTGTCTTAACTTTTACCTGCACCAGTGAACCTGCTGGAGTGAATTGGTTAGCATAGTCTCTTTACCAGCTCACCGGGCTAGTGGTATGCGTGACCGTCCTTGGATTGGGAGATCTGGGTTCAAATCGCAGTTGGGTCATACCAAAGACTTCAGAAAATGGGACCCAAAGCCTCCCTGCTACAATCAGCTTTAAGAGGTTGGATTGGGGGTTAAACCACCAAATAGTTCATGAGCATGGCCATGTCTGCAGCTTAGAGCCCTGCACGGGCCTAAAATCTGAGCCCGTGTCCGGCCCGGTCCGAGGGGGTGGAGCCCCAGCCCGACCCGGTCCGAAAAGGTTTTCAGGATTCTCTGGCCCGACCCAAGCCCGAGCCCGACTTTTTTTAACCAACTAAATGAAAACAAAGTGCGTCAATCCTGACCAATGTTTTAAAAGACGTGCAGGATCCGATCAATTTGTTTTTCCCTCATTTACCGTCACGGAGATGACGGCGCACTGGCTCTGGTGGTAATCAAGTTAAATTTGATCTCTTTCCAACAATTTTCACAAGAAAACAGAACAGTCAAAAGCAGGGCTTGTGTTGTGTTGACCGGATAGTTCCCGTATTTGACAGTTTATTTTGGCAGAGGAAGAATAGAAAGAATTACCCCGACGCATGCAGACGAACTGACATTTTATTCGTTACGCACATTGCAGATGTAGCTAAATCACCCAAGAAAAGATTCCCATCTGAACATCTGAGCTGGACCCTGCTCAGCGCAGCTCGCTGTCAGCGCATATGTACACAGCGAGCTGAAGTTGTGGAGATTGGCTTGGAGCGTGTCGCAGAACCAGAGCGCATGCGGGAAGGTTCCTCCCACTGAAGCAAGTGTTTTCCAAACCCGGTCTCAGGGAGACTTGTCACTTAGAAAATGTTCCCTGATTATGAAATTTTGGCTGAATAGTGCTTGTTCCTGTCTCCAATGTGGTGACACATCCAGGAGCCGTCTGAGGAGAAGCCCAGAATCTCTTCAGCTCAGAAGCGCATATGATTACACACAAGCGTGACCCGTCAACCCGGTCTCACAGTAAGACCGGGTTGGGCCTGTTCAGGTTTACGCAGACAATCTTTACATTTAGAATTGACTTACAGATATAAAATTAACTCAGTAAAATATAAAGCATTTTATTTAAATATCCATTCATTACTTTACAAGCACAGAGAGCCGCATCAGATGGATGGAAGAGCCGCGGGTTGCCGACCCCTGTATAGCCTATAAAATGGCATGTTTTCTCCAGGACCAGAGACGACGCAAACTCAATACATCTCCTTTATTGTGAGGAAATAATTTCTCCGAGTTTTGCGGGTGCGGGCGGGAGTAGACATGCACGCTGCGGGTGCGGGCGGTAATGGTCAGAAATTCAGCAGGAGCGGGATGAAGAAAACAGTCCCGCGCAGGGCTCTACTGATGCGTTTAAGTGCTTTGATTTTTTTTATGAATTCGATTAAAAATAAAGGCGCCCGGCCCGTGTCAGAGGTAATTACACAGTCGTTGGCCCCGAAGCCCGGCCCTCGGGCCGTCGGGCCGAGCCGACCCGAGGGCCTAGGGCTTCAGTGCAGGGCTCTACTGCAGCTCACCGCCCCACACGGGAATGGGTCAAATGCGGAGGACAATTTTTAAGAGAAAACTTATTTGTAATCAAAGAGTATATTCTTGAAGTTACAAAAAAGTGAGTGCGATTATATTCAATCATTGATTTCAGCTTTGACAAAAATAATTTTTCTTCTTCCATACTCAAGCAGCTCCAGCTCTCTCTGCATTTTCTGATAATAATAATGATGATAATGACCCGCACTTGTATAGTGCCTTTCAGAGTCAGAGGACCCTAAAGCGGGGCGACGGTGGCACAGGAAATAAGTGCACGCCCCATAATCGGAAGGTTGCAGGTTTGAGCCCCGCTCAGTCTGTCGCTGTCGTTGTGTCCTTGGGCAAGACTCTTAGCCCACGTTGCTTGCTGGTGGTGGTTGGAGGGACCGGTGGCACCAGTGCTCGGCAGCCTCGCCTCTGTCAGTGCGCCCCAGGGCAGCTGTGGCTACATTGTAGCTCTCATCACCACCAGCGTGTGAATGTGTGTGTGAATGGGTGAATGACTGATTGTATTGTAAAGTGCCTTGAGGGGTTCCATGACTCTAGAAGGCGCTATATCAAATACAGGCCGTTTTAAAGCGCTTTACACTACAGTGTATCATTCATCCATTCACACACATATTCACACACTGGTGGTGATGAGCTACAATGTAGCCACAGCTGCCCTGGGGTGCACTGACAGAGGCGAGGCTGCCGAGCACTGGTGCCACCAGTCCCTCCGACCAACCAGCAATCTTTCGATTACTGGACAACCCACTCAACCTCCTGAGCTACTGCTGCCCCAACCTTCTGCATAATTCTAACTTATTAACATTATAGAAAATAGAAAATATTTTGTCCTACATTTATCCCCTTATTTTTGTCTTTTCAAACTTTTCAAGACTTAAGGGACTGAAAGTAAAAAAAAAAGATCCCACCCAGGAACAAAGTCCTGCAATCATCCACTCTGCTGAGATTGTCCCTGTCAGTTTTCCATCATAATGATCCTCACTAAGAAGCTGTTTTAGACCAGCTGCTTTTTGAATAAATGCATTTTCTGATTCAGTGAAGTTGAAATCTTCTCATTTGCTCCCACAAGGGCTGATATCAGTATGGATTCCAGAGGTTTTAGTTGAGTGTCATGTCCTTTAGAAAGTAGATATAAATTTTATTTTAACCGTTGATGTATAGACCTTAAAACCCAAATGTGTGGCTTGTCTGTTTTCAGGTCAGTATCGGTCCGATGAGCTTCTGGAGCTGAGCATGAGCGATTCACAAGAGCTGAGCTGTGGGAGGAGCCTCCACACTGTGGAGCTGGAGATCCAGGAAGCCTTCCTGCGCTTCATGGCAGCTATTTTAAAGGGCTACCGCTCCTTTCTGAGGCCCATCACTCAAGCACCTTCGGAGAAAGCCACAGACGCTAGCTCACTATTTGACTTGCAAGGTATCAGGAATCATTTTTAGCCCTTGAAACCAGCTCAACATTTAAAGTATTAGTTAGCATCCATGGATCACAGTCCCAAAGAAATAACAGAATGAATTAACCTGGATCTCCTATTCCCAGTAGCCTCTTTAAAGTTCCCTCACAGGCAGCAAAACACTTCAGAGAGGAGACGGGTTTTCTCTGGTCTCTGGCCAGAGCATTCAGCCTAGAGGAAATCTGAAAACAATACAAAAACAGCATATCAGAGTTAGAAACAGCTCTTTTAAAATAGTTTTTGGAATTTTTTTCTGCCAGCGATAGATTTTCTAAAGCTGAGTGGAGGGCATGCATCTCCTGTCCTTTCTCTTAACTTTGTTTTAGCTGCACTAAAGATTTGGTGACTATTGATTTTTATAAAGCTAACCTTCTTTCTTAATCACAATGAGTTTAATAACAGGCTTCTGTCTGACAAACAGGCATTGTTGTGTTTTAGCTCTATTAATATAAATGGGAGAGTTTTATCATCGTCTTGCTAAAAAACAAGACCTTCCTAGGTCCAAGACCCACTCTAATCAGAAATAATAATTAAAAAAAGTTTTTTCAGTCAACCACACTTTTAAAGAGTCGTCTGGTTTCAGCTCTAAAACCAGTGTCCCCCATCATTAATGGTCTCACAGATGCTCAAATCCCATCTTCAGAATCACTGGAGTTTGAAGATTATAAAAGACCAAAAGGTTCATTTCAGCTCTGTGGACACTATTGTCAACATACTTAAAAACGTTTGTATTGATTTAATGGGAAGATATTTTCTGAATTATAGCAGTTTCAGATTCATTTCTTCTTTCACAAAGTGGTGAACCGCTCTAAGTGCCTCGAGCCATTCATCTCACTTATGTGTTTCACACGATTGTTCTAACGTGGTTCCATTAAACCAAAGTAGTTGTCAGATGTTAAATCAGATAATGGTTTTTATAAATGTCACACAATATATCAACAGTTTTTAAATGCAGAGTATGAGATTATTTTGAAAAGCATATCAATGATAATACGGTAATCACTTGTTATTAAAGGAAAAAGGCAGGTGATAATGTGTTCTCCTTTACGTGTGTGTATTTGTGTGTGTGTGTGTGTGTGTGTGTGTGTGTGTGTGTGTGTGTGTGTGTGTGTGTGTGTGTGTGTGTGTGTGTGTGTGTGTGTGTGTGTGTGTGTGTGTGTGAGTGAACGATTTGGACAGATTTTAGGAAAACTCACAGAAAGTAGTGATTAGTGGCCAGTTTGGACATATAAGAGTACTTATCATACAGATAAACTGACTTTATATTATATTTAAGTGAAGTCAGTTCAGTCATAGCTAAACAGCTAGATAATGTGAACAGTGATAAGTTATTAAACACCTATCAGTTTTTGCATCATTGTTTCTATAAGTAGCTTCATTCAAACTGATGCTGATGCTGAGTTAAGTTTCCACTGGTGTCCATCCCACTGAAAGCTAGACATCACTTTCATTGGTTGCTTTTTATTTTTTAATGTACTCACTCTGATTTTACTTCTTATTTGAAGGCCTTGTTGGTTCCTGTAATACCTGAGCATCAAACTCGATCTAATGATCATCTGTCATTTGTCATTCCCCGGTTTAGAAAAGAAGTGGGGAGACATGCCTTTTGTGTTAAAGTTCTCTCTGACTGGAATAAGTTACCTTCAATCTTGAGGTTCATTTCTTCAATTTGTTTATTTAGAAATGGTCTTTCAAGCATTTATTGCCTATCTGTGATTGTTTTGCTGTCACCGCCTAATTTGGACTCGTCTGCATGTGTATACTGGGTCTGCTTATATTATTATGCGTTTAAAAGATGACCCTAGCTATCATTTATGGTGAGCCATAGCTTCTTTCTTTCTTTTTCTTTCTTTCTTTCTTTCTTTCTTTCTTTCTTTCTTTCTTTCTTTCTTTCTTTCTTTCTTTCTTTCTTTCTTTATTTTTGTGTGCATGTGTGTGTGTGTGTTTTGTTTGATTTAGTGATTGTGATATAACTGTCTTGTCTGCTGTCTTATCTCCTATTTTGTTGTATAATCTGAAAACCCACTCGAAATTGAGATGATACATCTCAGATCGTTTATATTCTCATTAAATTTAAACAAACAAACAAACAAACAAACAAACAAACAAGCAAACAAACAAATACACAAACAAATAAATGTGTTTGTAGTTTGGTAGAGAAGAAGAAACCAGAAAGAGTCCGGAGTTTAAGGTTAAAGATATTTTTGAGATTGGAGTTTATTTTGTTAGCGCTGCAGCTGCTAAATGCTCTGGGGTCAGGCACACTGAAATGAGAGTTGGTTCTGATCACAGCTGAAATAATCTGGAGTAACAAACTGGCTGCTCCTTTGGAGGTTAGCGTTAGCCAAGGTCGTGTTTGGTCTAAGTTATGTGATACGGCACACAGGAGTGTCTGTGGAACGTTACGTAATAACCCAGAGGGAGATGGAACAGATTGTGCATCACATAAAAACTTCTAACCCCCATTCCCCCAAAAATAAAAACAAAAACTGTGACGAGAGTTTTTTTGTATTTTCATCTATGTGAGCCTGAAAATGCCTGATTCTTCCGTTATGAATATACAGCTCTTTCACTTTAAAGGTCCTGGATCATGCTATTTTACACCTTACAGAGCAACGGTAGGCACAATATGTGATAAAAAAATTACCTGTGATGAGAGTCAGTGCTGTAAAGGTTTAGTGTATAGGGTGTTCCACCTGGAGCAATGTTGGGTACCTTGACAGATAATGTTGCTGTTTGACAAAAAAAGACCATTGAATTATGATAAACAGAATATAATTTGTAATACTATTATTATTTTATCTTACTGGGAATTTGAAACTGTAACCTCATTTTCTGTCTTTTATGGCTGGGTTAACCTCTGTGTGAAGGTTGCCGTTATCTCAATACATAACATCTTTAGATTGCTGGAACATAATTCTTTAAAAAAAGGAAAAAAAAAAAGAATGAATCAGGTGATGATTAAAATATTTATCAGTCACAGGAAGTACTTTTGCCCACCTCTGAGCAGTAAACCAGCAACAGCTAAACTCCCTTATCTATTAAGGAAGCTTTTCTCATTGTTCAAGCACATCCCACACCGGCATTACACTAACAACACTAGCATGCATAATCCAAACTAAGACTAATTGAAGTTATACAGCATATTCATGACCATTTATGGAATACAGGAGTCTTTAGCCACAAAATCCCACACCTTTAGACCATCTCAGCAGAAAAAAATCTGCACAAATGTATCTGAAACATCTCTCAGCACAGTGTAGGTCAAAAGTGACCCTTTTGGACGTTACAGACGTGAATTGCTTTCACTTATCACTTTTATATTGTAATCTAAATAATGTTTGTCCCCAGGATTCCTAAAGAGCCGAGATCGCTCACACCAGAAGTTTTACACTCTAATGACCAAGACCCAAATGTTCATCCGCTTCATTGAGGAATGCTCTTTTGTTAGTGACAAAGACACCAGCCTGGCTTTCTTTGATGACTGTGTGGACAAGGTAAACACATTTATTGTAACACTCTCTTTATTTTATTTAAAAAATATATAAACTGAAAGCTTTTTAAGAATGTAACAAAACCCTTGTTTAAAAATAAAGTTGTTTGCTGATACTAATTCAGTCAAACCTACTTCTCTTCTTTCCGCTTCCAATCTTTTTTGGGCTCATCTTCCTCTTTCTTCTCCTGCCTACCTTTGTGAGCAGCTTTATAATTCAGAGCGAAGTGCAGAGAAAGGAAGCAAGGTAAGTACTATCGTCCCCGCCTGTTATGGGAACAGTTTGCTTGTGCGTGGCCTGAGTTCTGCAAATAGTCTAGTTGAGAATGCATCTCAGCAGGCGAGCATGGTTTTCTCCTGGGCTTCTGCAGACCTGCTTTAATATGTCTGGGTTTCACTCCCCTTCCTACTGCTGTAATCTGATTTACTTCCGCCTACCTCCAAGCTGCACCAGCTTCCTTTTTTTTCTGCATTTTTAATGTTCATTGGGATATTCACAGGCTGTGTTTGTATCTGCTGCCTCAGCAGTTTGTTCTGAGATAGTGGAAGCACCGTTTCACGTAAAATCTGTGTGTTCAGTTTCCTGCAGAGACTCAATTTTTCATGAGTTTGGTGAGTCAGGTTTTCATCGCTTTGATGATTCCTGAATCGTTAGCAGATCAGATCATGTATGTTTCTCATATGAAGCCTTGGAGAAGCTTGTTCTGTTGGAAGCATTTTGAATAGTTTGACTTGTACTTGAGAGTTAAAGGTTACATTTTATGTTTGTGGGGGCTTACAGTCTACTCGGCCGTTCTTCTGCCTGAGTCACTGAGCTGTGCAGGTGACATTTCTACCTGAGACTGACTCAGCTGTCCTTGCTTGTGTTCTGGCTGTAATTGAGATTTATAGGAAGTGAATGTGAATGATTCTTCTCTTTTCTTTGTTCCCAGACCCGCAGTGAGGCTGAGGTGTGCTCCTCAGCCTCACTGCGGGTCAGCTTTACGGACGATTAAATCTTCAGATTGTATTTGTGAGCTCTGTCCATGTTACATGATTACCTTTCATGGAAAAGGAACTGTTCATATCTCAGGCCACGCACAGAAATGAAGGATTAAGATACACATACCCTCAAGGCAAATTCGTTTTCTGTAGCAACAAAACAATTTTAATTGAGTTGGGTCATCAGATGAGGTCAAAACTCTGTATTGAATTATTAAAAGCTGTGAAAGTAGTATTTGGAGATGATTAAATGTTAAGATGTTTAATTTAGGACATATTTTCAGATTTGTAGAGCCTCGAGCTGCACAACCAACAGTCACCCCTCCATCTCTGAACTGAGAACAAACATTATATCTGTAATTAAAATATAATGTTTTTAAGATATTACTTTCATATGTCTTCGTATTACTTATTGGTGCATTAATTGTGTCACGTTCCAGGTCCAACTGTCGGGTTAGGAGTTCTGACAGAACACCAGCGGGGATTAGCCGGCAGGCGGGCTAATATTTGTTTGATATGAACATCGTCTTGCCTAAAGCCTTTTTGGGTTAAAGAAAATATTTTCATTAAATGTTCCCCTTAGATCTGGAAAAGCCAGCAACCGTGCCACTTTTATTGATAGCATCAATGATTATTGCCATCTTAGGATCCATATGACCACTTCTTCAAATGTTTTTATTTATTTATTTATGTTCGCTTATCTCTATGCAGCACCAAAGCTCACCGCTGTAGCAGTGTGGTACCTCTCAAAGGGAATACGTCATGCTCCAGAGCATTGATTGGTTGTTGTGTGACATGCCGTCCATAAGCAGACTTGTTTATGTGCACAATATTCATAACGCAGTTTGCATTGTCCATCTATCGTAGGAAGTGGGGGGCGGGATGTGATCCAGAACCACCTGAGCATATTTCTAGGACAAGTGTGATTTATAAATCAAAAACTGCATGCAGCCATGTGTAAGCAGCGTTTTATAGGTTGGAAAATTCATTTATGTGATAGATGTTTTTGCTGAGCTCAAATAGGGTTTAGTAAGGATTCTAGGCAAAGTTTTATACAGTAAATGAGGCCTTTGTGGTCCAGGTGTGGGGTGGCCTTTAATCTCGTTCATCTTTTTCTCATTTCTGAATCGTCCTCGAATGGTAATGCATCTTTTCTTCCTATACTTAGTAACCAGACACCCTGCATGATGAATTCATACAGCCTGTGTTGTAAGGATTTTTTTTTTAGCAGAGGCTGCAGAAGAACAGGGTAGTTGCAGAAGCACGCCAACTCAAAATGTAGGTCATTTGCTGCCACCCTCCATTTCTCCCTCAGGATGGCAGCTGTAGCAGTGCTTAAAATTATGGTTAAGAGAGTTTATGAAGATGTAAGTCTTGTGTTGGCAGAACCCTAGCAAGCATGTGGTAAAATATTTACATTGTGTCCCTATTTGTGAGGACATTCCCCGTAGGTGAAGATATTCCCTGTTTCCACGGGCTGTGATGGATGAAGGGTCCAAGGTGTCTCTGCTCATGTTTGAATGTTGTGCTCTGCAGGTGGACGGAGACAAGACAGAGGAGGCCAGGCTGATAGAGATTGATGAATCCCAGCGCAGTGAGCACACAGTCTTCATCACTCCTCCAGAACTGCCTCCTCTGCCTGATGGGGAGGAGCATCCGCTGTGCTACAGGTAAAAAAAAATCTATATATTAATATACATACATTTAGAGGAGCCACTCTGTCTCAGATGGTTATATTGAAAACAATTCTGTTAGATTTTGTGTTTTAGTGTTTCACTCAGTTCAGTTTGAGCTTTTGACCGTAAAGGAAGCAAAATGAACAAAGAATGTACAAAAATCTGAGTCAGTCATTTTAGAATGGAGAGACTGCACAACTTCTGTCTCTTTCAAACAGCCCCTCAAATAATAACAATGGTGTAAAGCTGCTGGGGGCAATAACAGCATTGTTGTGTTTATGGGGGTCTGAGAGGCTTTTTGCAGGGATAAAGAGATTGTTTCTGTTGCAAACACCTGAGGAGATGCATTTAGCACCATTCAAAGTGACGGGTTGTTTTTGCTGCATTCACTGTTGGATATTTGGTGAGCAGTGCAACTCTTACATCCAAAACAAAAAAGCAAAGATTTTTATTTATATTTTGGATCCATAAATTCAAACTCAAGATTAATTTTAGTTTGACAGACGGTGTGACAATAAACAGCTGATCTCACTTGTGTTTCAAGAGCTGCTGTCTAAATCAGAGAGGGGTTGTGATGAGTATAAACCCATGGAAAATCCTCCTTTTCTATGCGTTCTTGTCATCAGGTATGATGGCTTCCCCGTGTTGAGTCTTGACCTGTTTGACCCTGTGGAGGGTCTGCGAACACCATCCTCTCGCCTTGCTGCCAGGCACAGCTGCCCCACCAGCCCAGCCCCCATGTTTAGACGCACCAAACAGGTGAGAGCAGCTGTACTGAATCCAGAAATCACAGCTAAGGTTTGAAGCTGACAATAGAAATCACATTTTTATTAAAAGTTTACTAAGGATGATTGTCTTTCACTGTTTCATCTCCAGTTAAAGTTTCACATATTACAAATTTTCATTCACAGGAAATAAAATCAGCCCAGAAGATTGCCAAGAAGTACTCATCCATCCCTCAGATGTGGTCCAAGTGTTTGCTCCGTCACTGTTATGGCTTGTGGTTCATCTGTCTGCCGGCCTACGTCAAGGTGTGCCACTCCAAGGTGCGGGCGCTTCGCACCGCCTACGACGTCCTCAGGAAGATGCAGACTAAGAAGTTGCAGCCCCCTGATGAGGTACTTCAGCTGTAGCAGAATAATTCAACCCCCACAAAAACTCCTGATGGTTTTAGTGCTGAATTTCATGAACGGGCATTAGCGTCACTGTTTATGTTGCAGTAAGTTAACAGTTCCACCTGAATGTACACAGGTGTGCTACCGGGTTCTGATGCAGCTGTGTGGGCAGTATGGCCAGCCCGTCCTGGCTGTCAGGGTTCTGTTTGAGATGAAGAAGGCCGGTGTTCATCCCAATGCTATCACCTATGGCTACTACAACAAGGTAACTGTCTAGTGTACTATTAATGAATGATTACACTCCATTGTGACAAGTTACATTTTATTGTTGTGATTTTTTCTTTGCCTATATTTGACATTGTCCCCAAGTTGTGTCCTTCAAAGAAAAAAAACAAAAAACAAAAAATGCAGTTTTCAGCTATCTAAATCCCTCAGACTGTTCCTCTCTTAGTGTTTTCATGATTGTTCATACACCTGAACACAACACATGCTGACTGGGTCACATCTAACAAGTGACAATAACCCTAATGACACAGTAGATCCTCTGGTGGGTCAGTAGCATCAATATCTCAGGGTAAATATCCCAACGACAGTGCCCAATTAGAAACAACTAGAAACATTTAGTCATTAAACCTTTTATCTGTTTTTCAACTTTTCATCCTGATTTGATTTGCTAATCAGCTCATGTAAAATAATAGCCTGGCAAGCTATCCTATGTATGTAAACAGTCAGGCCACGACCAATAGACAGAGCTTAGTCATGGGGTGGAATCTACGGTTGGCTTTCAAACTGTCTCTACATCCAGTTGAACAGTGCTAGGACCAATCAGAGCAAAGAACAACGTGATGCACTCACCACTACGGATGGCAGTCAACGGGGCAGGACGCCATACATCATCAAAGAAGAAGCTAATACATATTTTTTAAATAAAGGACTTAAAGGGACTTTAGGGAGTTTTGAATTTTTATGCTTGCGATTGCCTCCTCAGGCCAAAAGCGTAACGGCAGCTTCAATAGGAGGCTCGTGCACGAGGCGCGCATGCTGTACGTGCACACTCCTTAATGAAAATAACAGCTGAAACGAAGCTCTGTGAAGCTGACGGGGATCAGCTTCACAGAGCTCTGAGAGCTTACAGTCCCTTGTGTGTGTGTGTGTGTGTGTGTGTGTGTGTGTGTGTGTGTGTGTGTGTGTGTGTGTGTGTGAGTGTGGCCCGGAGGACAGAGGACAGGAGAACACGCAGCTAATTAATGAAATAGTTTGGTTCTGTACTTTTCTCTTCAGCACAGCCGACAAAGGTTTATGATGGGTCAGTTCTCCTGCATGCTCAGATAACCCACATCTTTTTTATCTGTGAATTCAATGCCGTTCGGCAAGTCTCAAATAAAAATTTGGGCATCTTACTGTAAAAAAATATATCATTATTGTAAAAACAAAATTCTGAAATAACCATATTCACATCGAGAATCAAACCCGGGTCTTCTGCACAAAAGCCCTACACTTTACTAGGCGAGCTAAATCACCAGTGGTGCCTTCTGCATCTGTAACATTTATATCCTTGATGATAGCTGAAACAACGTTCAAAGAACGGTTCGGAGGGCTATGCCTGAGCGTGAACGCGCATGAAGCAGCCTGCTCGACCCGAGCAGCTCTCTTTTTCTGTGATTTTACAGAAAAATAGGCAATCACAATAAAAATGCCAGGACTCATTCTACAGGACCAGGGCGTTGCAGGAGAATGTATTAAGAAGAAATGTATTATTAGGCCCGAGCAGCGAAAGCGCTGCGAAGGCCTCTTGTTTTTGCTCTGATTAGGCCCGAGCAGCAAAGCGCTGCGAAGGCCTCTTGTTTTTGCTCTGTTTATTATTAGGCCCGAGCAGCGAAAGCGCTGCGAAGGCCTCTTGTTTTTGCTCTGTTTATTTTTATTTATTATTCTTAGCCCGCATTGAATGGCTTTTTGGGGACCTTATCATACCCCAAAACTCACAATATTTTGCAAAGATGTCAGGCCTGGTGAAAAATTTGATATTTTAATGGTCCCAAAAAAATTGCAAAGAAAATGGCTGAACAGCGCCCCCTAGAAAGTGAAAAAAAACCCTCTCCATAAAGCTTAATTTATCGTACAATTATGAAATTTGGTACACTTGTAGTACTCACCAGTCCGCACAGAAAAGTCTCTTGCAAGCATGGTCAATATCAAACAGGAAGTCGGCCATTTTGGGTTGAAATGGCGATTTTTAGCCGTTTTTGCCGTTTTTAGGGTCCGTTTCTGATTGGATTGCTCGATAAATTTTCGCACCATCATCTCAAAAATTGTGTCAAATTGCTCAGAAGGGATGGGCGAACAAAATGAGATGAGGATTCTGAGTTTTCGTATATGTTGAAGGGGCGGGGCCAGGCCTCAAAATTTGACTACTCGCCAAAAAAATTTAAATTGCTATAACTTCATAACTGAATGGAATAGAGTTACCAAACTTTCTGTGGTCATTCGTCATCCACCCACAAAGTAAATTGAATGGTCGGATGATGACATCACACAAGCCCCGCCCCCTCAGGACCAAAAAGATCAAGTTTTACTGTGAAAGGTCCCAAATTGCCCCATTTCACTTAATCACCACGAATTTGTAGCTGGTAACTCAAGACAAGTGGGGGTTGCTTGGCGTCACTTTATGGGAGTTTTCGGCAGAGGGCGGGGCTGTGGCGGCGCGGCGAAGTCAAGCGTACCGCCGTGGCCTTACGTTTGCCTCCCATTTCGTCATTTCTAAAGATATCGTCACGAAACTTCTTGTGAGTGATCCTAGTCCGGCCCCCCAAAAGATCTGATGTGAACATCCGGTGGGCGTGGCCTATTTTCTGAAATAGTGCCCCCTAGGACGATTAAAACTGTCAGCCCCAAGCCATGCTTTGACTGAGGATTACGAAATTTGGTACACTAATGTGGTGTCTAAGGACCTACAAAAAAGTCTCTTGGAGCCAAGTGCAAAGTTGCACAGGAAGTCGGCCATTTTGGTCCAAGTGTGCGATTTAGTGGTTTTCACACACGTTGTTTGGAAAGTGATGCTCCGTCGCCCTTTTCACCAATCGCCTTCAAACTTCTGCTATATACTCTTAAGACATAGAGGAAAAAATTCAACCGTCGGATTTTAAATAAGTATAAAGGTGTGGGCGTGGCTAAGCCTCAAACTTTGACCTTTCGCCACGCCACTCTTTTTTTCACAGCTCCCTATTGGACCCATTTTACCCAATCACCAGTAATCTCTGGTAAATAGCAGCAGACAAGTTGAGGTCACTTGGTCTCCAGTACTGGAAGGTTTTGAGAAAAGGCGGGGCTTTGGGAGCATGGCGAAATTCGCCATCACGCCATGGAAATACGTTTGCCTCTCATTTCTTCATTTATCGTGATATCACCTCGAAACTTGTTGTGAGTGATCCTAGTCTGACCCCCAATAGAAATGGATGGCTGAAGTTTGTGGGCGTGGCCTATTTTCTGAAATAGCGCCCCCTATGACCATTAAAACTGTCAGCCCCAAGCCATGCTTTGACTGAGGATTGCAAAATTTGGTACACTAATGTGGTGTCTCAGGACCTACAAAAAGGTCTCTGGGAGCCAAGTGCAAAGTCGCACAGGAAGTCGGCCATTTTGGTCCAAGTTCTCGATTTAGTGGTTTTCGCACACGTTGTTTGGACAATGATACCCCGTCGCCCTTTTCACCGATCACCTTCAAACTTCTGTTATATTTTCTTAAGACAAAGGGGAAAAAATTCAACCGTCGGATTTTAAATAAGTATAATGGTGTGGGCGTGGCTAAGCCTCAAACTTTGACCTTTCGCCATTACATTACTTGACTTAACAACTCCAATGTGCATGATCAGATCTATATCAAACTTTGTCCGTGTGATCAATGACCAAATCTCAAGACAACGTCATTGTGGACAGGTGACATCACCTAAGCCCCGCCCCCTGACAACAGGAAGTCTATTGTTTTATGGTGAAATGCCCATATTTGTCCTCTCTAATTTAGTCAACATGACACTAAGGTCAGGCACTGTCTTCATGATGTTGCAATGACCATTCACATCTGATAGCTTTCCAGATAGGGAGGGGCTTTGATGCCATGGCGATTTCTGGCATGACGCCATGACCTTACGTTTGATCGTAACTTCCACAAACAGCCTCCCATCTGCACGAGACTGAACATGGCAATCAACAATCATGCCCTTTAGCCAATGAGACACAAATGGTTGGTGAAATTCGTATAATAACACCACAGCACCCCCTACACAACATTAAAACTGTGATAACTCCTACAGACGAGGTCGTAACTGCACCAAACTTGGTGTGCTCAGAGGGGATGCTCAGTCAGGGTGAGGTGCGGATGAGGTGACCGTTAGCTGTTTCTGGTGTCGGGGTGGTCAAAATTTTTGTTCCACGGACGTAACCTGGTGCCTCGGGCTGCCGGCCAGGCCGGAGCGGCGCGGAGCTGCGAGGGCCGAACGACGCTGCTTGCAGCTTTAATTATTTTTTATTATTCTTAGCCCGCTTTGAACGGCTTTTTGGGGACCTTAACATACCCCAAAACTCACAATATTTTGCAAACTTGTCAGGCCTGGTGAAAAATTTGATATTTTAAAGGTCCCAAAAAAATCACAAAGAAAATGGCCGAACAGCGCCCCCTAGAAAGTGAAAAAAAACCCTCTCCATAAAGCTTAGTTTATCGTACAGTTATGAAATTTGGTACACTTGTAGTACTCAACAGTCCGCACAGAAAAGTCTCTTGCAAGCATGGTCAATATCAAACAGGAAGTCGGCCATTTTGGGTTGAAATGGCGATTTTTTGCAGTTTTTGCCGTTTTTAGGGTCCGTTCCTGATTGGATTGCTCGATCATTTTTCGCACGATCGTCTCAAAAATTGTGTAAAATTGCTAAGAAGGGATGGGCGAACAAAATGAGATGAGAATTCTGAGTTTTCGTATATGTTGAAGGGGCGGGGCCAGGCCTCGAAGTTTGACTACTCGCCAAAAATATTTAAATTGCTATAACTTCATAACTGAATGGAATAGAGTTACCAAACTTTCTGTGGTCATTCGTCATCCACCCACAAAGTAAATTGAATGGTCGGATGATGACATCACACAAGCCCCGCCCCCTCAGGACCAAAAAGATCAAGTTTTACTGTGAAAGGTCCCAAATTGCCCCATTTCACTTAATCACCACAAATTTGTAGCTGGTAACTCAAGACAAGTGGGGGTTGCTTGGCGTCACTTTATG